GCCAACATGTTCCAAAGGAAAGAAGAAGAGAGTCCTCCAAAAAGCAGTCCTTAACTTCTACTTTAGTGACCACTCCTCTCCAAGGCAGCGTTGATGTAACCACTCTCCTCTGGCTGCCAGCACATGGGGCCAAGGAATTGTTTCATCAAGCCAGAATCTCCAAGTCTCCTCCCACTGAGTCAGTACAGGTGGCCCCTTGGAAAAGGCCAGGGCAAATGTGTCACCATAAGAGACAATACATGTGGCATGCAGAGAAGGAACCAGCCGACAAAGAGATATTGAAAACTGGGGAGAATAGTCATGAGTAGAACAAACTTCACCTTTGGAGAGTGGATCTTAATGAAGGGTTCAAAGGAAAAGCAAAGCAAAGAACCAAAAATTAAGGAGGTTTCCCTCAACTGCACAAAGGCTGAACAAATTACGATATACAGATATAATTGAATATTATTGTGTGGGAAGAAATGGACTGATGCAAGATGAAAAGAGTAAAACCAGGATTATCCAACAACAGCAACACTTAAAGACTTGACAACTCTGAGCCAAGCAATGACCAACCGTGTTCCAGCATGTTACCCACCTCCTGACAGAGAGTGGATGGACTTAAGGGACAAATGGAGACATTCCCATACGTGGCAACTATGTGGATTTGTTTCACTAACCTGTGCTTATTTTTTATCTTCTATTTTACTTTATTTTTCAATTACAAGTATTCATTTTCTCGCCTCCCATTTACCCCCAGTTTAAAAGAAAAAAAGGTACAAACCCTAGTAACATATATGCAGAGTCAAGTGAAACAAATTCTACATTGGCCATGTCCAATCGTCCTTCTGTCAGGAGCTGAGTAGCATTCTCCATTATCAATACTCCGGAATCATGGTTGGTCATCGCATTCATCAAGAGTTCTCAAGTCTTATCAAAGTTGTTGTCTTTACGGAGTTGTAAAAATTGTTCACTTCATTCTGCATGAGTTCATAAAATTCTCCTCAGGTTTCTCTGAAATATTCATTTTTATCCTTTCTTATAAAACAGTAATATTCCATTATATTTGTATACCATAATTTGTTCAGCCATTCCCAACCAATGGGCACCAACTTAGTTTCCAGTTCTCTGCCATCAACACCAAAATTTTTAAAAAGCTGCTATAAATAAATAAATATACATATGCATATATGTGTGTACACACACACACACACACACACACAAACACACACCTATAGATACTTTTCCTTCTTCTTTGATCCCTTGGGGTATAGGTCAAGGAGTGGTATCACTTAGGTCAAAGGGCATGCACAGTTTAGTGATGTTGGGGGCATAGCTCCAATTTACATCCCCAAAAGCTTGGACCAACTCACAACTCCACCAACAATGAACTGTACTTATTTGTAACAATGTTAGTTTTTTTTTTAAATCAGCATCAAAGATTTAGAGGACAAGCAATAATAATCTCCCCCAAAAGGGGGGGGGAAGGAGGGCCATTTAAATACTATTTTAAACTGTACAAAGAACTGCTATAAATATTTTTGTAAATATGGAACCTTTTCCAATTTTTTTCATTTCTATTAGCTAGAGCTGGGCCAAAAGTTATGCACTGTTTGGCAATTTTTTATGGATCATTCCAAACTGATTTCCAGACATGTAAACATATCTGTTTACATTTCCATTAATGTGCCTGTTTTCCCACCATCCCTCCAACATTTTTCATTTTCCTCTTTGGTTATCTTTGTCAATCTGATGGGTGGGAGGTGGTATCAGAGAATTGCTTTAATTTGCATTTCTTTAATTATTAGTGATTTGGAGCATTTTTTCATATGACTATAGATAGTCTGAGCTTATTCACTTGAGAAATATCTGTTCACATCCTTAGACCATTTATCATTTGGGGGATGACCTTCATTCTTATAAATTTGAATCAGTTTTTATATATCTTGGAAATGAAATCTTTATCAGAGAAATTTGCTGTAAAGCTTTGGTTTTTCCCCAGTTATTTCTTTCTCTTTTAATCTTAGCTTGATTGGATTTGTTGATATAAAAACTTTTAAATTTTATGTAATCAAAATCATCTCTTTTCTTTTGTATGACCCTCTCTAGCCTTCATTTGGTCCTGAACTTTTCTCCTTTCCATAAATCTGATAACTTTTCCCCCATTTTTTCTATTTTTATGATGTAATCTTTTTTTATTAAGGACATACATCCCTGTAGGACTTATTTTGGCATAAGGCATTATACATTAGACTGAATTCAATTTCTCCCATACCACTGTCCAATTTGTCAGCAGCTTTTGTCAAAGTTCTTATCCCAGTAGTTCATTGAATATTAAGATATTAGACACATTTGCTTCTGGACCAAAATGTTGTGAGGATTACTGTTTTGTAGTATAATTTGGGCCCTGGTACTGCTAGGCCCCCTTCCTTACCAATACTGTTCACGATCTTCCTCAAGATCCTTGACCTTTCTGGCCTCCAAAAGAATTTTATTATTATTTTTCCTGGTTCTTTAAAGAAATTCTCTTGTAGTTTAATTGGTATGGTATTTGTTCAGTAAATTAATTTAAGTAAAATTGTCATTTTTATTCTATTAATTTATTCTACCTATTATCAATGAATATTTTTCCAATTATCTAGGTCCATTTTTACTTCTGGAAACAGTAATTTACAGTTGTATTTATATAGTTTTTGTATATATCTTGGCAGGTAGATTCTCAAGCATTTATACATGCTATAGTCATTTTAAATGGAGTTTCTCTTTCTATCTCTTCCTGCTGGGTTTTCTTGCTATCATACAGAAATGTTGATGATTTGTGTGGACTTATTTTATATCCTATAATTTTGCTGAAGTTATAATTTCTGTGTTCTAAAAAATATTCACTTCTTTCATTTAAGCTATTTTCTTGGCATATCATTGGACAAAAAAGTTTTCTAATAGTACTCTATTTCTTCTTCAATTGTTATGAATTCTTCATTTTCACTTCTGATACGGTCATTTGGTTTTCTGCTTTCTTCTTTTCAATCAAATTAGCTAACAGTTTATCATTTATTATCTCGTTAGGGTTTCCTCCCCCAAAAAACGGCTCCTAGTTTTATTTATTAATTCTGTGCTTTTTTATTTTCAATTTTGTTCATCTCTCCTTTGGTGTTCAGGATTTCTATTTTGATATTTAATGGGACTTTTTAAATTTATTGGCTTTCTGACTAATTTGCTTCTGCCTTTGTGTCCCCTGGGGCAGTATGATATGGTACATAGAGAGCTGGCTTCTGAGGTAGGAAGACTTGAGTTTCAGTCTAACCTCTGACACATTCAGGCTAGGTGACCCCGAGCAAGTCACTTCAACTCTCAGTGGCACAGATCACTCTTCTAGGCAGGAAGTTTCAAATGCATTGTACATCTATCCAAGAAGTTCTCTACTTTAATAACCTTGGTGCTTAGCATGGCACCAGGCACAGAATAGGAACTTTATAAAAATATTTTCGAATGAGTGTTGAATTGAGACAAGAATAGAGAGACAGAGACACAGGAGAGATGAAACAGAGGCAGAGAAGGGAGAACTAGAGAGACAAAGAGAGAGAATGGGGAGGAGGAAAAGAAAGAAAAAGAGAGAAAGGAGAGAGAAACAGAAGAGAGATGAGACAAAGAAAGAGAAGAGAGGGACAGAGATAGAGAGATTGAAAAGAATAAAGAAAGAGGGAGAAACAAGGACACAAAGAGAACCCAAGAGAAACAGAGAGAAAAAGAGGTAGGGGAAGAGACAGAGAGACAGACAAAAAAGAGGAACAGAGGGACTGAGGGACAGAGACGGAAAGAGAAGAGAGAGTGGGGGGAGGACAGAGACAGAGAGACAGAGAGACAGAGGGAGAGCATAAGGCAGGAACAGATGAGAGAGGGACATAGAGATGGGGCCAAAGAGAGATAGGCAGGCAGCATGATAAAGACCAGCACGTGGGGGCAGACAGAAACACACACACACACCCCCACACACACCCCAAGGACTGAGAAACCAGAACAAAGAGATATAAGCAGAGAAACACACAGATGCCAGAGAGAGAGAATCAGGAAACAAGACAGAAAAAGTCACAGCCAGAAGCAGAGTGCACCCACGGAGATCTAGAGACATTGGCTAGGAGATACAATGAGTGGGACAGAGACAGAGAGGCAAAGAAACAGGACAAGGAGGAGATGGGGTTTCCCGCCTGCCCATCTGGCCAGGCTTCGAGCCATGATGAAGGGAAGGGGAGGTTGTCCCAGGCCAGGGTCTGGTTTAGGGACCAGGTTGAGAAGCATGGAGCCCAAGACAATCTTGCCCATTGCCCATTGGAGGAAACTGAGGCCTAGAGAGGGTCAGGGAGTAGGCCAAGGCTACACAGCAGATGCAGGCCAAGTCAGCCCTTGAACTGAGGCTTGCTGATGTCGCATCTGGGGCTGGTCCCCCAGGCCTTCTCAAGAGGGCTCTGACTTGTCATCTAGTAGCCGGAAGCTGGTTGGAGTTTGGCCTGAGTCTCCTCTGGAAACCACATTGAGGAGGGTGTTATTTCCGCCTACAGCGAGGCTGAGCGATTGGAAAATTTAGAGTGGGGCTCAGAACGCCACATCCTGTACCTTCTAAGAGTTGCTTGCCCATCTGTCCATCTGTCGGCCCATCTCCTCACACACACCAGGAGCCATGATGGCCTCCACACTCTCTGCCCTGCTGAGTCTCGGTGAGTTCTGGGGAGAAGGGATTCAAGACCCCTGAGAAGAGAGGGGTTTCACAGCTTAAAGATGACCAAGTCAAGTCCCGACCCAATCCCCACATACCCATTTTTAAGAGGAGCAAACAGAGGAAATGGCTAGCTTGAGATCCTGCTGTAAGTTGGGGACAGAATTAGGATTCTAATGCAGATTTCCCAGTGTCCAGCTCTCCTTTCTGGCTCTAGTCCCCAAGGCCTCCCTCCCCTTGAGGTGTTTGGTGAGTTGGACATGGGTTCTGGAGCTAATGGTCCTCTGTCACAGGGCTGTGCCTGGGCCTGGAGATGGGAGATGAAGGTGAGTGCATCCCCTCAACCTTGGCCCCTCCCTTGTTCCTCTTCACCCTCCCAGCAGCCCCTGGGGACCAAGGACAAGAGGGTCAAGGTTGGGCTGATGGGGGTGACCAGAAGAGGGAAGGAGGGAGTCAGGGGACCACAGGGAAAGGGAATAACCTCTTGGAGCTCTGGCCCAGCTTCTCTTCCAGACACATTCACCAGACCCTCCCTCTGGGCTGAGCCAGGCACTTTGATCCCCGTGGGAACAAATGTGACCCTCTGGTGCCGAGGCCCTGCTGGGGCAACGCGGTACTGTGTGCTCAGAGTAGGGCTCTCTGAGTGCAGGAGCCCGTCCAGGCCTCAGACCGAGGTGCAGTTCCCCATCTTATCTGCGGCAAACGAGGATGCAGGACAGTACTGCTGCCTCTACTGGACCCGATCCCTCCGGTCCCAGTGCAGCCACCCCCTGGAGTTGGTGGTGACAGGTGAGGGAGGACCCCCCCCCCCCCAGCCCCAGGCTCTGCTCCTCAGCCAGGCCTGGCGGCTTTGTCCGCTGAGGCCACCCTGGTCTGCAAGCCACAAGAGGACTTCTCTGAGCCTCCCCTCCTCAGGGTTCCCCACCCCATCCCACCTCACCTGTATCTTTCTCCCCCTCCTCTTCCCAGAGCTAGCCCGAGCCTGTTTCAGATTGCTCGCTGTCTTGGTGAAGAGAGAGGGACAAATTTTGGAACTTAAAATTTTACAGAAATGAATGTTGAAAACTGTCTTTACATGTAATCTGGCAAAACCTAGGGAAATTAGAGCCTGTTGAGTCTGGCCTCTTTATTTGACAGAGGGGAAAACTGAGGTCTCTGTTTGTGGGGTATTTAGGGGAAGAGACTTACCCAACATCAACTAGGTGGCTCTGTGGATAGGCGGCTAGGCCTGAAGTCAGGAGAACTCGAGTTCAAATCCTGCCTCAGACATTGCTAGCTGTGTGACCCTGGGCAAATCACACAACCTCTGCCTCAGCTGCCTCAGCTATAAAATGGGAATAACTACCAGGGTTGTTGTGAGGATCAAATGGAATGATAGTTATAAAAGTGCTTAGCACATAGTAGGTGCTATAAGAATGCTTGCTCCCTTCCCCCTCCTCCAGGATCACGCAGGTAATATGAGGCAGAACCAGGATTCCAAGCAAGCTGGAGCCCCATCCTCTCCTAATCCAGGAGCCAAGAGCCCTGGCGGCTCCACCCCGTGTCCCCCTCTGCCACGCTGGCCCATGAGCTCTGTCCCACGCTCACTCCCCAGCTCCCTTCTTCCCCACTTTTCCGTATCTATCGCTGGTGCTTGGCCGGGATCATTCCTTCACTCACTCACGCACTCAGACATTCCTTTAAGGAGCCAGCCCTAACCTGGAAACCAGAGAGAAGATGAGAACTGTGGGGAACTTTAGTCCAGAGAGCAGGAGGCTGGGGGGGAGAGGGGAGAGGGTGGGGGGATCCTGAGGGCAGCCTGCGGCAGAGGCCCCAGAGGGGAGAGCCGGAAGCAGTGGGGGCAGGTCACTGGACCTTTGGGGGCCAGGGTAAAGATGGACTTCCCTTCCATGAGAGCTGCCCTTCAAGGCTTCAGGCTGCCCCTTGTTGGGGGCCGTGGACCAGAAGCCAGAGGACCACTTGTACCGAGTCTAGTGGCGATGGGGGAGTGATGAACCTTGTTATGGATGGGCCCAGATGCCTCTCAGGCATCTCTTCCACTTGCAGGGAGGATTTGTCAAACATGGCTCCAGGATCTCAGCCTGGGTTTCTTCTATAGGCTTCCAGCCCAGGCCATTCCCCCCTCAGTCCAAAGAAGGAAAGACCCCTGGACCTACAACTGCCCTATCCTTCCCTAGTTCAGATCTCAACATAAAGAAGGAAGAGGGCAGCTCCTCTTTTTTTAAAAATTTTTTTCTAATCCTTAATACTATTTTTTTCCAATTACATGTAAAGATAGTTTTCAATGTTCATTTCTGTAAAATTTTAAGTTCCAAAATTTTTCCCTCTCTCTTCCCCAAGGCGGGGAGCAATCTGAAACAGGCTATACATGTACAATCGTATTAAACATATTTCCACATTAGCCATGCTGTGAAAGAAGAATCAGAACTAAAGGGGAAAACCAAGAGAAAGAAAAAACAGAAAACAAAAATAAAGTGAAAATCATCTGTTTGGATCTGCATCCAGACTCCACAGTTCTTTCTGTGGATGTGGTTAGCAGTTCCTCTTTAAACCAAGGGTCTCCTTCCCCTCCAGGTATATATGAGAAGCCAACCCTCTTGGCCCTGCCCAGCCACTCGGTGGGCACAGGGAAGGATGTCATCCTCCAGTGTAAGGTGGAATCCAGATCCGACAGGTTTGCTTTGTACAAGGAGGGAGACGCCCACACCTACACGGGTTACGAATGGAGGTCTCGGGCCAACTTCCCCATCCCTGCTGTAACCAGAGCCCATGGGGGCACCTATCGATGTTACAGTTTTTCCAGCGACTCCCCCTACCATTGGTCAGCTCCCAGTGACCCCCTGAAGCTCATTGTCACAGGTAAGGCAGCCCTCATCCAGCCCCCTTCCCTCCCGTATGGGAGCTGTCCGTTTTTCAAGCTTTACAGGCTGATAGGCTTTGTCTGGGATCAGGAAGGTACTTCCTCAGGAAGTGTGGGCATGCTGAGGAGAGAGACATGGCAGGCACCATAGATCTGGGAGTCACTTGTTGAGATGATGGCCATGCCAGCAGGGCCTGAGGGGTATAGGGAAAAAACAGGAGAGGATGCAGGAAAGAATCCTGGAAACGTCCACGTATGGAATATGAGGTCTAGAGTATGGAGGAGAAGGAGATGCGGGGGAGGCTGGGTCAGGAAACCCCAGAGAGGACAAGAGGCTGGGGGAGGGGGTCCATGCCATCAAATGCTTCAGAGACAAGCCTAGCAAGAGAAGGACTGAGAAAAGGCCCCCAGACCTGGCAATAAAGAGATCGTTGGGAACACAGCAGAAATCCCTTTTGGTCGAGGGATGGGGTCAGAAGCCAAGCGGCAAAAGGTTTAGAAGTGAGGGGAAAGTGAGCAGGGTTAGACCAGGAGCCCTGAAGACCCTTCCGAGGAGTCTTGCTGAGTCAGGGAGGGCAGCTCCAAGGGATGGCCAGGCCGGTGGGGGACGTGTGAGCAAGTTCGTGGGCAGAAGGGAAAGGGGGCTAGAATTTAAGAGACAGGGGTTGATCACAGGGTCAAGTTCATAGACAGAGGGAGGGGAGGGGCCCAAGCAGAGCAGCTGACTTTAGTCAGAAGGGCTGTCTCTTCCACCAATGAATGAGAAAATAGAGATGTTAGAGGGGATTTGAGGGATAGAATCAGAACAAAGGGGCTCATAAGGAACAAGCAGGCATTCTGGACTTGGAGTCAGAAGGTGTGAGTTCAAAACCTGCCTCAGTCACTTACTAGCTGGGTGCCTCTGTGCAAATCCCTTCCCTCCCTGGGACTCCTCAGTTTCCTCGTCAGTAAAATGAGAAGGTTGGGCCCTTCCAGCTCTGGACTGTGAGTCTGTTTCTTTGTCAAGCTATACACGTCCTTTGAGCTCATCGAGTCCAAGGCTCCGCTTGAGATACATGCCCAAGAAGGGAAAGACACTTATCTCTGTCACACAGCCGGGTCTCGCTGGGCACCTTCAGCCCAGCTCCTGACCCCACTCCTCTGGTCCTTCCCAGAAACCTCTCCAAGGCCTGGAACTCAGGACGACCTACTGGGTGAGTAACCAGAGGCTTTCCAGGATGGAGAATGGAGAGGGGCTGGGGGCTGGGTGTGAAATGCTGCCACCTCCCTTCATACCACAGCGCCTTCAGAGCCTCCTCTGCCTTTCCCACCTCCTAAATCCAACTTCTGTTTCCATGTCCAAAAAGGGAGTAACCCAAGTGTGGGGAAGTGTCACTCTCCTCAGAATGGGACCTCCCTGAGGACAGGCTGCAGAATTATAAAATTAGGGAGTTGAAAGGGGTAGCTCAGTGCATAAAGTGCCAGGCCTGGAGTCAAGAAGACCTAAGTTAAAATCTAGCCTCAGACACTTACTAGCTGTGTGACCCTGGGCAAGTCACTTCACTCTGTTTGCCTCAGTTTCCTCATCTGGAAAATGAGCTGGAGAAGGAAACGGCAAACCACTCCAGTATCTCTGCCAAGAAAACCTCAAATGGGGTCACAAAGAATCTGACATGACTGAACAACAACAACAACATAGAGTTTAAAAGGACTTCAGCTGACCTATGCCCAAAAATCATCCCTTCTAGCTCAGAGAGGTGCTTGTCCACCCTCTGCTTGAAGCCCCCCACTCAGGCATGAGGACCCCACCATCCCCTAGGTGGCCCATTCTGATGGGGTTTCATTCAGTTTCAGAAGCTGAGACCTTTGCCTGTTTTCCCTTCCTCCCCAGCCCTAAAAAGAACCTAGCTCCAGTTTGTCTATGATTGCCAGAAAAACCTTAAATTTTTAGTTCCTTATAGATTCACCTTATCTCCCTTCCAAAGCCTCAGCCTTACCTTTTAATCTTATTCAAATGCACCTTTGCCCCTAGCCCTAAAAAGAAGTTTGTCCCAGAAAACCCCTCCTTATCTACTCTCTTTATCTCCCTTTGAAAGCAAACTTCTGCCTTCCAGTTCCCAACCCCCCCCCTTCCTCTGACCACCCAAAGTTATTTTAGTGTCAACTGGCCTTTCATTGTGGCTACACCCAATCTCCCCTCCATTGTTTTACCTTCCTATGGCCCCTGGCCATTTCCTACCCTTAATCCTAGCTAGGCACCAGGAGGTCCAGGTCCCAGGAGTTCCCTTCACCCCAGCTTACTAGCCAGTCCCATCCAGATCTCCTTAGGCCCCTCCTCCCGTCACCACAAACTACTTGGCCACTCCTAGATCCCTCCCACAGTCTTTCTGTATATAAGGTCCATTTTGTCTCTACCAAGATGCTGAGAATCTCACGCCCAAATGGCTGAGACTGTCTCATGCCCGCTGGTCCTTACCGGTGTCACCTGGCTTAAGATCCACTTTAGCCCCCATTCAGATGCTGAAAACCTCTCACGCCTAGAGGCTGAGACTCTCATACCCACTCATCCTCAGTCACCTGGCCTATATGAGATTTATCTTTAATAAACTTTTTCTCTGGCTGGACGAAGATTTGGGTTGAATTCATTCAGGCAGACCCAGTGCCACGATCTTGGGGGGGTCCATTCGAGCACCCCCAAACCTCTAGACCTCTTCAATTCCACTTTGGGATAGCTCAAGTTTTTAGAAGCTTTTCCATAAATCAAGAAAAAAAAACCCGTCTCTGTAAATTCTCTCGTGTTACTAGTGGATTCCTGAGGGCCAGTCTTTGTCTCCCCCTCAGACTGGGAACTCCTAAGGGGCAGGTTGGGGTTAACTCGGCTTCTCCCCACTTGGTCTTCATCAGGAGCTTCCTCAGGTCTCCCGAGGCTCTGGCAAGGGATCCTGACAGGCGTCTCACTGCTCTCCACCTTGCTCTTCCTCTTCTTTGTCCTCCTTTGCCACCACCAGCATCTGGCCAGACTCAGTGAGTCCTTGGGGCTGGGGGGGAGGGGATGATGCAGGCTTGATAGGGGATGGCCGCCACCCTCTGGAGCCTCACCCCTGACTCTCCTTGCAGAGACCGAGGGCAGAGCGTCAGAAGGCAAGGAGACCCTGAGGAGGTAGGGGCCCCACAGACACTCTATTCCCTCTGGGCCCCTTCCTCCCTCCTTCTTCCTCATCATTCTGTCTTCTTCCCTAGCTACAGCCCAGCTGGGGCCCTGCAGGAAGAGACCCTGTGTAAGTGAGAGAGGGGATGTGGCAGGGGCAGCAGGACCTGGAGTGTTGGAAGGGAATGTCTGACCCTGGGGAAATCTGACTCCTCTCCTCTCTCCTCTTACCTGCAGACACAGCAGTGAAAAGCAGCAGACAGAGCAGAGAGGAGGACCCTGCTGTGAGTCACTCAATACAATTCAACAATGATTAAGCACCAACCTCTACAAGGCACTAAGCATAGTCCCCCCCTAGAGGAAAGACTGACCGGTTTCTGCCCTCCAGGAGCTCACTTATGTTCTCCTTCTGTCCGCAGCAGTGAACCACACTTTCAGTGTACAGAAAAACCTGACAAGTTCTGCAGGCATCACCCCTTGCACCACCCCCACCCAGCTGGCTCACTCTCATCTACTCTTCTTCTCTACAGGCCCAGGACCTCCAGGAAGTGACCTATACCCAACTGAGGCACCCAAGCCCGAGTGAGGGCCCTGCCTGGGCTCCATCCCATCCTCTATGCACCACTGGTCATCCAGTGAGCTAAGCCCATCCCAGGGGAGGAGGGAGGAGCTCTCCCCATTTTCACCTCTGCGTTCTGTGAGCGTGCCCTAAACTAAAGCAAAGGAAGTCCAGGAGATCTGACCCTGGCACCCGGGAATTTTTAAAAATAAGTTTTATCAGTGCCTTATATTTTCTGCATTACAAACATTTCGGGACATCCCCAGTCATCCCACCCCCAGTTCACCTTTCCTTTGTAACAAAGAAAAAACAGTTGAGCAAAACCCAACAGCATGCAACATTTTGCACACACAGTCTTCCACCTCTCTACCCAAACGCAAGGAGTCCCTTCCCTCTCCCAACTTCCCTCCCTTCCCTTCCTTCTTTCCTTTCCTTTCCTTTCCTTTCCTTTCCTTTCTTCTCTCTTCCCTTCCATCCTCTCTCTTCTTTCTCTTGCCTTCTCTTCAGCTAGCATTGGTCATTATAATTGCACACTGCTTGGCCTCCATGATCTTTTCATTCACATTAGTATAGTCTCGGCTGTCATGAATCAGGACTAACTGGGGCCCCTCTGATTTTTTCAGGCTCAGACTAGACCAAAAGGAGACCCTTGCAGGGTGTTTCACAGTTAACCAAAGGAAGTCCATTGGCCATAGAAGGGCAGGGAGTCAGCTCGCACGTGGCATCACTGATGCAGCAGGGCTCAGCTCTCCTCCTCTGGGTTGTGATGCAAGACTCAGGCCGGTCAGCCAGCTAGCACGTAGTAATCGCCTCCTAGGTGCCAGGCCCTGTGCTAAGTGCGGGGGACTCCTCCTATGTTGGGGCCACTAGGAAACTGCCTGAGCCTAAGGACCTTGGACCAATTAGGTCTCAAGCACGGTTTCAATATCTTTTCAGGGAAAACTAGCTTAGGCCTTGGGGTGCTGCTCCCACAAAAGTGTAATGGAGTATTATTAGATCAAAAGAAATTAATGTGATGAATTCAGAGAAATAAGAGAAGATTCGTATGAACTGATGCTGGGCAGAGAAAGCAGAACCAGAAGAACAATAAATGCAGTGACTGTTGTCGTTCAGTTGTTTCGATTGTGTCTGACTCTTCCTGACCCCTTTTGGGGTTTTCTTGGCAAAGATACTGGAACGGTTTGCCAGTTCCTCCTCCAGCTTATCTTACAGATGAGGAAACTGAGGCAAACAGGGTTAAGTGGCTCTCCCAGGGTCACATGGCTGGTCAGTGTCTGAGGTTGGATTTGAACTCAAGTCCTCCTGACTCCGGGCCCAGCACCAAAGGTTTGTGTCTTTCTACAAGTCCAGTGGATCTCCATGCTTTCCTTTCTGTCCATGGTGACACCAATCCTCCAGCTAGTTCTCCCCCGCCCCATCCTCCTCCATGCACACATACATACACACGGCACAGTCAGGGAAGGGATGAAACTCTTCCCTACTTGATAAATGAGGAAACTGAGGCAGGCTCCAGGGCACCTGTAACCCCTGTCACATGAATTCTTTTCCTGACTAGTCCTGACTAGCCACTGCCATTCAGTCAGGAGGAATTATTCACTCAGACTGAGCCACTCCACCAGTAAATGGGAGACCTGGGTGTCTTCTGTTAGACTGGAACTCAATGATGCTTCCATTTGTAAGGGGGGAGGAGGCTGGCCGTTTTCTGGAGAGAGGAAAGGGCCCATTCAGACCACAGAGGAGGCTTCTCACTAGCCCTCCTACCAGATCCAAGTGAAGCAGATGTCTACAAGAAAATCCTCTGGTAGGAATCCGAGGAAGAAAGGATGTTGGTCCTGTCCGAGCCGCCGAGGCAACTTGAGAGAAGATGGCGAGTACAGACCACTGCTCTGACCGCTCCCTCTGCCTCCCTCTCCCCACACATGCTCCTACTTACATTTGGCACCTGGAAAGAAGCCAGCTGGAGAGATGTCCCCCAACCAAAAGCCACCCCCCCCCACCCCAGGGGCTGAGCCTTCCTCTGGGTGATCTGTGAGCCTTACAGCTAAGGGTGGGAAGGGGAGCTGGGCCCTGGAAGAGATGGGAGGTGAAATTCAGATGCCCTGGGGCTGGGGCTGGGGGTAGGAAGGTCTTGCAAGTGTGAACCTAAGAAGTGCTAGTATATGGGGTGGGGGGGGTGTCTGTCCCAATGAGCTAAAGAATTCAGAATTCATCCTCCCCCAAGGCCCCCAGGAGCCAGCCAGCCCTAGGCACCCTGCCAACTAACCAGAAGTAACTAATGAGCCACAGGGACTAACTCAACTCCTGCAGAACCGGGCACCCAGATGCCCCCTCCACTACCCCTACTGCAAACCCTCTAAATCTCTCACTTCCTCCTTTATTTCCTGGGGAGGAGGGGAGAAGCAGGCATTTTATCCAAGGTTACCACCAGCTAGAGACTCAGGGGTCTTCTTCTACAGTTCCCTGCCCCTCTTAGACACAGGCATCCACTCCTTCAGTTCCTGGGGTCCCCCCGACATGGCCTTCCCCACATCTGCTGACAGTACTGTCCCGTGGGGGTAGAAGGAAGGCGCTCATGGTGGACCAAAGCTAGAACTCAGGGGAGGAAGTCAACCTAGATGTCTGGGACTGCCGCCCATCCCCAAGGCCCCTGAATGGCTCCATGCCCGGGTTAGGGTTAGTAAGTGGCACTGGAGGTGAAAGAGGACAACAGCAGAGGAAGGGAAGAGGAGGGGCTGGAGGGTGGCCCCACAGCCAACCAGGAGCAGCCAGTAGGGAATCCTGGGCCTCCTGGCTCCTGCAGGATCCCAGGAGAGGGAGGTGGCTCTCCAGGCTTTCATACCCTGGGGAGAGATAAGACATTCCATCTCCTCTCCTGTTTCCTCTTCCTATCTCTTTCTTTGTCTGTCTGTCTGTCTGTCTCTGTTTCTCCCCCTTCCCACCTCTGTCTTTTCCTCCCTCTCCTTCCTCTCCCTCTCCTCTCTCCACCCTTTCTGTCCCTTCCCCCTGCACCCGTCTCCCTCTCTGTCTGTCTCTCTGCCCCTCCCTATTCTATATTTAAGATCTAAGGTCACCTCATGGAATGTGAATGTGGAAAGCTGTGGAAGAGAGAGACTGAGAAGAGGTCTCTAGGGCCTGCAGAAGGTGGGGGGTTTAGAGGAGAACAGATGTCTAGGAGAAGGGGAGGGGGGAAGGAGTGCGGTGAGGGCCTACTTTAACCTGAGAAGCAGCAGGCCAATCCCCCTTTGTGGAACCTGGTAATATCCTCTATTGCTCCCTTCTCTGAGCGGGGAGGCAGGCTCTGGATGATGGGAGGTGGGGTAGAGGGGAGGGATAAGCAGGTTGGTGGGGTGCTTAGATCCAGCCTGAGACAGAGCCAGTTCAGGGTCCAAGTGTCCAGCTCAGTCTCCAGGCAGCCTGGCCCACAACTACAGCAGGAAATCCAGCGCAGAATCCTTGTGGAGGGTGGGCCTGGTCTTGGCCACCACACTTGGGACAAGCAGGGCCTGCCTACACCATCCCGGAGTACAAGAGTACAGGTTCCCCAACCCAGACACTCAGGCTGGAGATCCCCCTAAACCCAACAGGGATAGAGAGGGAGAAACTCAGAGACAGAAGCAGAGGGAGCAGCCAGGCAGCCAGGCAGCCAGTGGAGGGTAGAGCAGGCAAGGTCCTTCAGGAGCCCAAGGCCAATTTCACTGACCACAGAGGGAGGGTTCCTGCTGAAAGGGTACCCCTGGGGTAGGGGGATGGATTGATTGGCTCCGGTTCTTGTACTAGGCTTACAAAAGGAGTCTTCACTGAAAAGTCAGCCCCTTAACCCATTTCAGGAGAGGCCCTGGCGCCAGCCCCAGAGGTGACAGGGCCAGAACAGGGCTGAGGCACTCCCCTAAGCCCCAGCAATCTCCCTGCTCCCTGCTCCAGGCCAGTTTTCAGAAGCAGGGGTGCTGTAGACATCTATCAGGCCTCTTAAGAGGGCCTCCCAAGGCCCTTCTGTGCCTTGATAAATCCTGGGAAAAAGACATCTCTCCTGCTGTTCTGGGTGTGTGTGTGTGTGTGTGTGTGTGTGTGTGTGTGTGTGTGTGTACGTGTGCGCGCATGCGCAAGGTTGTATGGTTGTGTATGTGTATGCATGTATGTGCTTGTGTGTCTGCACGTGTGTGTGCATGCTTATGTGTGTGTCTGTGTGTGCATGTGCATGCATGTGTGCTTGTGTATGTGCATGCGTATGTGTCTGTATGTGTCTGTGTGAGCATGTATGTCTGTGTGTGTGCGTGTGTGTGTGTGTGTATGTGTGTGTGTGTGTGTGGTCTTTACCAATTGGATTGTAAGATCTATGAGAACAGGGACTAGGTCTTCCTTTCCACCCCACGCCCTGCTTTGTATCTGGCACTTGAAACAATGCATGAAACATAGGATATGTTTAATAAATACGCATTGACTACTTGTTGACTCTGCTGCCAATTGCCATCAGGCCTAGACCCCAAGACAGATTTCAGACCAGGAAAGGGAATCTGGCACCTCTACATAGCACGCAGCATTAGTCCATTCCCTGAAAGACACGCAGAAAAAGTCCCACACTTCTTGGTAGCGTCTTCTGCCATCTTGGACCAGGAGAATCTGTTTCAATTGATCAATTAAGCATTTATTAAATACTTAAGTAACACTTCCCCCCAGTCCTAGGGTGGTTCCCTAGAAGATAATGCCGTGAAGGACATTATATACACTCAGGGAGGTGTGACTCCTGATTGGCTGAGAGCCTGATGGATCCTCTTTACATGTTGATAAACGTGCTACGTGTTGATAAACTTCAGAGAGAGAGAGGAGAGATACAGAGAGAGAGAGACAGACAAAGGAGAGAGAGGGGGAGAGAGAGAAATATATTTGAAAAGAAGGGGAGAAGGAAGAAAGCCCTTTTAATATCTATGCATAGTAAAGCAAAACAAATACCCACATTGGTCAAGTCCAAAATACATGCATTCATTCATTCAGCCACTTATTTATTTATTTGTTGCATTTTGAATTTCAAGTTGTCTCTCTCCCCCCTCTCAACTCTGCACTAGAGAAGGCCAACATTTGATATTGATATATATATATATCTGGAACCATACAATACATTCTGCTGTAAAGTAGTTCTTTCTCTGCAGGTGGACAGTATCTTCCTTTACACATCCATTGTAGTTGATTTGAATATTCAGATTACTCAGAATAGCTTAATCATTTCACAGTTACTCTTCCAACAATATTGCTGTTACTGTACACAACGTTCTCTTGGTTCTGCTCATTTCACTCTTTATTATTTCATTTGAGTCTTTCCATGTATTTCTAAAATCAACCAGCTCATCATTTCTTTTCTTTTTTTTTTCTTTTTTTTTGGTGAGACAATCAGGGTTAAGTGACTTGCCCAGGGTCACACAGCTAGTAAGTGTTAAGTGTCTGAGGCTGGATTTGAATTCAGGTCCT